GAGCCACGACGGTTAAACACAGCAGTTTAGCCCCCACTGATTTCCTGAATAACGCCCAATCTTGTAGGATTCTGTCTTACTTTCGGTACATAAAATCACTGTCCACGAGTGACAGGAAATATTGACTCTCTTGGACCTGAAAACTAATACTGATTTTAGCGTACATTGATTGCACCTATTTTGTTTGGTTTGACTGTGTATACACGAACCAGAACTACAGTCAATGCTCGTCGATGCGCATGTGGATACTAGTGAATACGTGCACTGTGTGAACTGCGCGACAAATAATGTCGGAATAGATTTCTGGATTGTAACTCTCATCCACTGAACACTATTCACAGGAAACTGCGTCTCGCTAGCTTCGGTTTAGCCACTAATGTGTCTTATATTATGTTCACCACGGAAGCGTTTTATAGGAGTTAAATTAAATTAAATTAAAACTTGTATATCGCTGTCTCGATCGTTTGTTTCTATCGCACTGTAATTTCTTTTCAAATTTGATATTATGACACACCGTTCGATGTCTGATATACTGCATCGCCCGCGATACACANTTACGACCTTCATTTGACTGCAACGTGCTTATGATCTGCTTGCTTGCTTGCTTGCTTGATTAATTGATTGGTCGATGCTGCTTGCTACCACCCACGCACGCACTCACAACATGCGGACTAACTCGTACAAAATCGATCGGCCCCAGTCAATCAGGTGTTAGTGTATTGAACTGTTCATGCTATGGTATTCGTTGACTAATTGTCTTCCAGCTTGACGATATTCGAATGTCATGTGATGCTTTAGTCATTTGTGGGTCTACATGTTTCCGGCTTCTGCTTGCTCACCGGTCTACGGACCCACTACATGTGTGCTTACCACAACAAACGTACTGCCTAGTACACTACGTACCTAGTTATCTCCTAAAACGGTATAAAACACCAAGCGTTGTCGACTGCCTATCGAATTTCCAATGGATCGACGCAGTTAAGAATCTCCAGTTTAGTGATATTCTGTGGAATACGTTAAAAGCCGAATCTAAATGCACATACACTTGAGAAATAGTTTTTTTTTCAAGGTTTCACCATTTAATATACACTTCTGTACCACGCAGCCCAATTTATTTCGTTAAGATATGATCTCGGGACAAGACTGGATAATCGTGTCGCATGGAATTTTGAAAGTTTTTAACTTCTGATTGACAACGGGATTCTGAAAATGGTGAATCCTAACATGTCTGCAATCTATTGCATCATGTGACTGGAAACGCCGTACATTCTGCATTGGCTCATCTCTATTCCGTAATACATTTATGGCTTCCAAATGTTTAACTGATGATCTATCAGTAATGGACGTCCTGTGAGTACTGTTAAATTCTACGGTTGTGTTTTGTCATAATTCACTGTTCTGCCGCCAAAATGTATTCCACTGCAGAATAAGAAACTCGGGTATCATTGACATGGCGTAAGAATTGTGCAAAGAAAACTTTAGAGGATAGTTACCCACCATCAGTGTTATAACATCTCAAAAGGCACTAGACATGGATTCTTCGAGTGCCAAAAATCCATGTGACATCCTAAAATAAGGCCGTTTTCGATCAATTATTCCCTTGACTGGTATCGTACACGTTTGCCCTCAAAACTCCGCTGTGGGAGATGCATTTTCCTGACAATTATGAAATTCTCTCACGGATTTCGCATCTACATATATCGCTCGGGGAATTCATATCCTCGCCGAAATGAGTGGACACGGTGCCAAGATTTGGGACCGCAACCGGTTTAATGAACTACGGGAAGCTAGAGCATCGATGGGAGCTAGAAAATCCAGACTAAAGTACTCGAAGAAATTGTATGTAAATTGGTTGCAGGATATCCTGATTGCATAGGTCACCCGTAATGTAGTGCATTAGGCCCTGTGGACGTATAGAGCACCTCCCGTATGGCTGATTACTAGAAGATCGCCTCACCCACCCCGGTGAACTGAACGCTCTGATTATGAGTCCCTAAGATAATCGCTTGTTATGGCTCGAACCACCTAGAAGTATTGATTTCTTTGTGACAAATGTTTGGGTCTGTTACATATGCTTACAACTATTTCACCTTTGTTTTTTCTCCCTGCACCCACTCCGAAGATCTATGTGGACACATGCACAAAATTCGTGCTTCGAAGCATTCTACAATTCACTCGTGATTTGACAGAACTGTCCCAAATAGTGATGGTAGATTGTTGTCAGCATTGGGATCAGTTAGATGACAGCGGTTGCAATGACTTAGACAATCAGAAACACTGGCTCAGCACACTCCCATCACCCGCCTCCGGTCCATTTGACATCCGACTTGGTCCGATGAACCTAGCGTCAGCAGTTTTCCAAAGTGCCAATAGAGTCAACATGTTCTGGCTGTCATTCTTGTTTACGGAGTTACCGGAACTGATCCAGTATGGGATAGCGCAATTTATAAATTGTGTAATTACTGTACAGCGTCGGAATGAAACTGTAGGGTTACTTCAGAGATTTCAATGGAATGAAATACAATTAATGGCTCGTTCTCAGAGGCAATAGTATTGCATGGTGTTGGTTAAGCGGTTTTGGTCACCATCATTTCACCCCGCATTTCCTGTTTTCCACTACCACCACCACCAACAACAACACTAACACCAACACCACCACGGCATTTAATTACATAGTTGGACATTTGAATGTCATCGAATTCCGCTGTGTTCGAAAACGGTGAACGGTGGAATATGCCAACCTGGAACATTGGAACCAAATAATATTTCACCATAGTTTGCTCAAGCTTAGGGCTGTATTCTGCGTAAAATATCTGTGTAAATCTCTCACATATGTGTATTCACATAAACGATTCCGTGCGCACAGTTTCTGACAGATAGATGCGCTTGAACTGTTTCGAATAGGGTTCTTTGGATTCATTCCGAACTAATACGCGTGAGTTAACAATATCGGCCGTATGGGGATATGGAGTAAAGTCCCCGTACCTCGGTTGAAAAACCGATCGATTATTCCGTTTGTTACAATCAAAGTTTGCGTTTGTTCGAATGAACTAATCAACAAATCGATTAAAAATCACTCAGATAAATCAGACGAGGCATTGAGGACTCCAAGTCAGATGTTACCCAGAATGTGATTTTTGACTTGGTCTGCCCTTAAAAAAACTTAAGCAGTTCCATGGGGTTTCATCCATCTCGTGCATCAATCGATCCAACTGAGCATCGAACCTAGGACCTGGCAAGTAAGTACTCGAGCATAATATCCGAGTGATCGCGGAACAGATGATCAGGTTGTGTTGCTTATTCCTACACAATAAAGTAGTGAATAAGATGGGGGGAGGAGGAGGAGTTCTTGATCGAGTCATAATCCTGAAGATCAGAGCCCCGATGAACTGCTTTTCGTTTGCATGATTTGGGAAGCGAACACCTTGTTTACACGTGTTATCTCAGCCTTAATTAAGTTAGAGTAGTACTTTATAGCAGATGAATGGTGAGATTTATAGGATCGTTCCTTTTGCCTTCGTAGTGAATTCAAACGAGGATTTGCAATTTTGCCGTTGCAAACAAACAGCGTTCGCATGGGACAGAAAAAAATGGAAGATCGATCTCATCGTTTCGGTAAAAAGATTGACACAGTTGAGAAGTGTTGAACACGAAGGAAACCAAGATTGGGCAACCGTTATGGAACGATAGACAAGAGAAATGCGGGTTGGTGAAAAGTTACGGAGATGAAGCCTTATCTGGTTTGATCGTATGAATGGTGGAAATGCAGAGTGGGAGTATATCTATGGTCTTAAGAGGAGAACATATTGATCACTGGTAGCGACTGGGGTCATTAGTTTGAGCGAAAACAAAGTGGGATGGTTTGTGATTACCCTGTCATGTATAGATCTGCCTCGGTTAGGAGAATGAGACAAATCGGACAAGCCAAAAGAAAGCAGAGGGAAAATGTTGAGTGGTTGAAGTCACCAAAAGCCAAATGAAGATTCTCATCTAACATTGGAACCAAAAACGGAATGTAATGATCAAACAAGAAGGTATATCTGATTAGGAGCACGAAGGAGGTATATACACATTATTATATCCGGAAAATCTGGGGTGACAAGGAACGGATAAACAGTCAATGGATTTTTCAGAACAGCTAAATACCACTTCAGACTTGTCACACCAATAAGTTTTGATGTAAGTTGCCACATCGTCTCCAGTTTTCTTCCTGCTATGTTGTCTATCTTGCCGATAACAGTCGAAGCCATCTATCTGCACCAGCGCATCCTCAACGTTTTGATTTAACTAGGTGTTGTGTCCGGATCTCGATTGATCACAGTGTACACACAACAAGATATCACACGATGACACACAAGGAACAGACGTACCTCAACGGCCACACTAATCGTCTAGCCCCACAAGTACGATCACAGCACAGATTGGACGCCACGAGCACTAGTAGCCTTCTCCCAGCTACGTAAGAAGAACACAGTTAGTGCACAGCGAACGTGTACTTGACACACAGGAAGCAAGTCAATTTACAAGTTTTACTCTGATGCTTATATGTGACCNTCAATCATAAGTCACGGAGTTAGCCAAGTTCAATCGGTCATAGGTCACGGATCAGACGGACGGAGTGAATGTCTCCGTATGACGCGATACCATTGATTATTCTCCGCGAGATTAGTATTGATTAGAGATGCTCCTAATTGAAGATACTCGAAAAATAGTCAGTTTTAGGTAAAAATAGTCTTTTTACCTAACACCAGGTTTCTTATATGCATACGACACATGTGTTGGAATGGATGCGTGTGTTCAGTGAGGAAGTAAAATCCCTGTTTGCGAAGAGAGAGTGAACCTTGGTACTGACCAATGACGGTACGGTCATCTTGGCAGGAGGGGTGCTGTTAAGCGCACACTGCCATCCAGCACGTTTGCGCTTCTTGATCCAAGCATGCTGGCCAGATTCTCCAAGCATATTATTTATGTGAGGCACAGAATTAACAGATTTCAATCTAAGCCTATCCTGATGAGAGCAGGTATGGATCCGGAACATGTTTTACATCGAGATAACAATAAAATCCAGTGAGACGACGAGCACACCAAATCGTATCGCAGCCAATCGAAGGGCGCGCGCTTGTCATATTCTGCCGATGCAGAGTGTACACCAACCCACGAGCAGACCAATTCCTAATCTCGTGTAAACCTCACAGGAGTAGGCTATATGTGGTATCCTATCCCCAATTCATTCCATTTTTAAGCAAGTCTGCTATATCTATTACTAGTCTATTCCTTGATTACTCTTAGGCCATCGGATTCATTCCAAGATTGCTCCATGCGCGTGAATTGCGCTACCGTTATTACCCTGCTTTTGCTTAATGGTTATTTTCGGGAGAAGGCATCGGGAATTGGCAGACGAATGCCCCACATTCCTAATAAATAACCTCAGTGTTCTTCAAGTTTTTCTTCCTAAAAAAATGTCGTTTCTCTATTATTTCACGGGTTGCGTTTGAATCTTCTCGGACTACAGTTCGGTGTACGGATGATGTGGCCACAGGTTGTCAATTCTCGATCAATGAGAACTCCAACATTCATTCTACTAATCTCCAAAACACTTCAGAGTCCTCTGAATATATTGGTCTTCCTATATAGGATTGGTGAAGGAGGATTTCATTCAGTTATACGATGAATTTTGTAATGTACAGAGCACTGCACAGCTCTTGCGACCTTATCGGGTTTCGTCAGCAATGTGCGGATTCATCGACCCAACTAAAGATCTCGAACCGGGGAACTCACATGTTGTACAAAGCCCTCTATCCACATGACCACGGATCAGCTGATCAGACTATTTTTTTTTTTTTTTTAAATTGTGTCTATGCCCAAAATAGCACACCCCGTAATAAGATTGCTAAGAGGAGTTGTGCACACTCAAATGTGTTATGAAGTTCCGGGTTCGCGATCCCCACTTAAGTCAATGGATCGGCGCATGGCTGATGAGACCAACCAGGTCGAAAGAGGCAGACAGTGCGTTCTATATTTTTGTTAGTTCCCACTTCATTTTGTCTGAGCAAGAAGAAATGTACCATACATTGATTGATCTTTCCTCTAACCTGTCGAGATGTTCAAAGTACATATTTCAACTTACCTTGCTCAGTTCTTCTCTTGCTCTCTCGAATCATGCACTAAACGTTTGCATATGTCATTTATCCAAACTGTAATCTGTGAAGTACTTCAAAGTGGTAATGAGTATCAATCTCTACACCCCATTCTATATTATCGATTATTTGGGAAAATTCCTTTGACTTTCTTTTCAACTTCGAAATCTTGGATAGTTTCGTGTCAAATCTACCTGTGATTTTAACCATACTATGCTAATCATACTCCATGGTCCGTTTTCCAATCCCAAAACTACTAGCATATAAGTTCACAGTTGACCACTGAGTGTGTCGGTGAGACTAGCGGAACACTCCATGAATATGATGGTGGTGGTGGGGGGGGGGGGGGGGGGG